CCCCAGACAGAGGCTCAGCAAGGGGAAGGCCAGGACTTTTGCAAGAGGGAAAAGGGGGCAAGGAGAAGAGGCGGGAATTAAGGCATTCTGTAGCCCCCAAGTTGGGACTGTGGGTCAAAGGCACCTGAATTTCTGGGTTGTCTGAACCTCTGGTGCTCCCTTCCTGACCTCTGGAAGTCCCCAAAGTGCCGATTACCTCTGCTTCTACTCCCGCCCCATACTGATCCTGACCAGGGATCTCTGGGTGGGGCCCACTATTGCTAACACTCCATAAAAAAAACAGAAACCCTAACTAGGTGTCTCAGTGGAAGGGTTTCAGAGCCCACTCCCTGAGGCGGGGGAGGGGGGGTTGGCCAGGAAGACAAGGACAAGGAAGGCCAGACAGGGACAGGCTGAGGCCACGGCTGTGCAGAGAGCCCACTGGAGACCTGAGCTGGACACACGGGGTGGTGGCAGCAGGGGGCAGAGAACGCTGGTGTCAGAGACAGCCAAGAAGGTTGAGGGGACGGATCTCAATGTGGCCAAGAAGAGGGTTCTTGGCAGGCTCAGTTCCTGTAGCAGAGAGGGCGGAAGGCAGATGGGAGGGGGCGAGCAAATGCGGGAGCTCAGGAAGGTGGAGGCTGTGGGTGTGGGCTAGGAGTCAACGCCCTCCCCCCACCTGAGAGCCAGCGACCAGGCTCCTGAGTGGGATGGGCAGGATCATCCCCCCTGGCAGGAACCGGTGGGAACCACAGCCTGGAAACAGGACCCAGGGGTGAGCTGCCTTGAGCACAGCGTATGCTCTTATCGCTGGGAACTAGATTTCCTGGGCCTGCTGACCACAGCGATGTCCCGCACAGAGGGGTGGATCTCAGTGCTGGGGTCCTGGGCCCTTCATCTCTCTGGGTCTTTGTGCTTTCCTCCATAAAGAGTGGCTGGGCGGTGGACCCCAAAGCACTGACTCCCAAGTCTGGCTGGCCATCACCAAGCTGGTGAGCTGGATAAAATGCAGAATCCACCCCCCTGCCTCCTACCCACCCTCCCCTGTGCAGCATACCTAGACCTATTCCCTCACCCCCATTAATTCTGAATAAGAGCTCAAGATCCTTCCAGCACTAACTTGGCCTGATTCTGGGACACCCCCCCCCCCAGCCCCAGGCAGGCAGGCAGGCAGGCGGGGCAGCCCCTCTAAGGGGACCAGTGATGCAGGGCATCAGACAGCAGGTTTCCTTCCCCTTCCCTGCTGCCTCCGGGGGTGGGGGGAGGGGGGCTGATGCTTGGTGCCATTAATTTCCCAGCCAAGTAGAATAGCAGAATTTTTGAGCCCCACGAAGCTCCTCTCTGTTAGAGGAAAAGGGATGGACCTAATTGTAACTGAGACCCTACTGTCGTAATAACCACCGTTTATTGGTGGTGGTCTGTGTGCCCAGCGGGTACTGTATCCTTCCAGCATGATCTCACCTAACCCTCAGGTTGTTCTCTGGGTTATACATGCTGAGGAAACTGAGGCTAGATGAGGCTAAAGAACATGCCCGATGTAACGCAGCTGGAAAGAGGGCAAGCTGCATCCGAAGCCCTGGGCTGTCACTCCAGAGCCTGTGGGCTTCACTGGACCGAATCCCAATGTGCCAGGCACTGTGCCCAGCACTTCACCCATCTGCTCTTTGTGTGGATCGTCTTCTTTAATCCTCAGAACAAACCCGGGAGGAGGTACACTCATCCCCATTTTATAGATGCGGAAACAGGCTTAGAGAGATTACTGGCACGGCCAAATCAGCAATCATGGCCAACCCACAGAATGCCTACCCCTGTGGAAATCCTGTTCTAAGGAACTGAGTGTATGTTGCTTATCTAATCTCCACATCTCACAGGTGAAGAAACTGAGTCAGAGATCCTGAGACTCGCCCCAAGTGGCACAGTCAGGACTGCTGGATCCAGGGCTTGAAGTCAGGCAGTCTGGCTGCCCCGTCTGCATACTTAAGCAAACCCAGGGTTCTCCTCTTCCAAGTGTGGTCCTCGGACCAGCAGCATCAGCACCACCCGGGAACAGAGCCTCAGGCCGCACCCCAGACCTGCTGAATCAGGAACCCAGGGGGCAGCACGCAGGCCCCTGCAGGAGATTCAAAGCACTAGCGGTCTAAGAACCAGTGCCCTCAACCGTATTGCGTTCCCCACCTTACCCTCTCCGCGGGTGAGGGGAGGCAGGATTCAAACCCAGGACTCTGAATCAAAAGGTCAAACCCTTTCCGGTCTACCGCAGCGCTCCCCCTCCCCTCCCTCCTCTCCACCTGCCTCT